AGAACTCTCTCTATAAATAGTCCTGGTGGCTTTAACTACACAACCGCACACAGACTTCCATATCAACCTGCACTCACACAAACACACATACTCAGGAGACTACTTCATCAAGGATCTGCCGTCAGAGTCTGTGATCTCTGGGAGAGGGAAAACATAATCGTCTGGCTCCCTATGCCATACTGATGGGCTGCCAGACTGAAAGTCAGCATTAAACACGTCTCTTCCTGGCCCACCGCATGCTTGGTGTGTGTATGTGTTTCCACATGGTGTAAATGTGTAACAGCGCTGACTCTGGGCAGCTCTATCCATCATATTATGGAGGAGCCAAATTGTTGCCAATATCCCTCCCCGGTCTTCAGGTCCATCCATTTTTACGTCTAATAGCTCCACTGTACTGTAAAGACTGACATGGTCCACATCCACCTAATATACTGCAGGCTCTCACTTTCAGGCTTCTCTCAGTCGCGGTGATCAAATTGGCCATTATTCACAAAGTGTCACAGAATTGGCTCCTGATCTAAAATCCTTCAGCAAATGTGATGGGATGAAGCACATTTCTGATCGTAGCTGTGCGTTAGTAAATTCCTACTTTTAGCACTTGAAGGATTTCTGTATCTAATATAGGCTACTGTGTATTTCCAGTGACAACTTAGTGATTTTTCTTGCAGCAGCACTGCGTAGGCAGAAGCAGGGTCACTGAGTACACTGCATGTACTCAAAAAGAAGGGAATTACTGATGAGGGTGAATTTGTACAACACCTATTGGGTTGTATTTTTCGCTTGTGCATTCCAGAGATTATTTCACCCGCCATCTGCGTGTGCATGTATTGATCTCACTCACTGTGTTAATTCTGCTGCCTGCAATTTATGCTCGCATGTTGCAGGCATGCTGCAGGTCAGCGGGATGCGTATATACACATCTGAGGAGGTTGAGGCGGTCAACGGCACAGACGTTCGTCTGAGGTGCACCTTCGAGAGCTCGTCTCCCATCAAACCCGATGATGTCGTCATCACGTGGAGCTTCAGGCCACTTAAGGGGGGTCCAAGGCAGTCGGTGAGTGTGTGCGTGTCTGTGTCTTTGCAAAGAAAAAAAAAGTGAGAACAAACCAGAAAACCTCCCTCATTGTGTCAAGGAGCATCCGCCCCCTCATCCAAGTAAGAGAGGAACCGGTGAGTCATCTGGCTCCCTGTGGAGCATTCAAGACAGCCAGTGTTTGTATACTTGTGTGTGGGGATATTGAGAATAGACAGAGTAAGAAGCAGGAGATTTGGGTAAGTCTGGGCTTTTATTTTCCTTTCTTTGCTGGAAGAAAATGTCTTCACTCTCCAGCAGCAGCAGCAGAGTACTCAGTTTGATAACTTCTGACTATTCCCTGCCATCGTTACCCTATCTAAATGTAACCACCAATTTTCTCTTGCAGGTATTTTACTACCAAAGGAAACCATTTCTTCCACAAGAAGGACTCTTCAGAAAGCGCATTTCCTGGGCTGGTGACATCATGGGCAGCGATGCCTCCATCATAATTCGAGAGGTCAAGTTCACCTACAACGGCACTTACATCTGCCAAGTGAAGAACCCACCCGATGTCCACGGCCCGGATGGAGAAATTAAACTGAGAGTAGTTGAAACAGGTCAGCAGTTTGAATTTTCAGCCAACATTTTCCTTCCTACATCCTTCATTCAACGTTTCT